AGGTTCCAAGCCTGTGAGGCAAGTGCTGTCACTGACTTACATTCCCAGCCAGGCCTTGCTTCTCTGGAGATGCAGCTGCTATTTGTCTTTCAAAGGACAAAGAGAGTGCCAGAAGATTGTAGGATCTGGATGCTAACATAACATACAAAGACACAAACAACTCCCTTGACTACCCACAGAACCCTTTCCACTACTGTTCTTGAGTAGATGAAGATTTGCGATGTTTAGATGTAGGATGCGTTAGCACACACACTCACTTCTTGCATTGGTTCATTGTTCTATTCAGCTATGTACTCAGGTTTCCCAGGCTGACTTTGCACTTACTATGTAAGCAAGGCTGACCTTGAATTCTTGGAGATAGGACGATTCTCCTGCCTTAGCTTTCTGAGTGCTGGGATTACAGATATGCACTGCCACATCTAACCTGTCTCCTCAATTCAATCATTCTGTAGCCCAACAAACAGTTTAATCATCATGCCTATGGAATTCTGGGAATGCTAAGTTAAATCAGACTTCTTCAAGTGGTTCTCAGTCCATCATGCTGATTGAAAATCATTAGCTGAGGGAAGATTTGCCCCCCTAAGGCGTCTCTATTTTGCCTTGTCATAATTTGGGAGAACAGAACTGCTGGCATCCAGTGGTCGGGGATCAGGGATGCAGACCAACAGTCCACAACACACCACCTCTGCCCTCAAACGTTAAGGTGCTGAGTGAGGTTCAGCCAACTGGTCTATTGGAGAAGGCACACTTGAACAAATGATATGTGGAAGAAAGATGTCTGTGAGTATTTGGAGGTGAGTGTGAGTGTGAGTGTGTGTGTGTGTGTGTGTGTGTGTGTGTGTGTGTGTGTGTGTGTGTGCTGTGTGTAGCAAGCATGGTGAAGGCTTCAGGCAGAAGAGATTCCTGGTTTGTGCTTGATCTCTTTGCATGCAAGCATCGAACAATGACTTAAATTAGTCGACAGGGATATTTTCTCTTTTTGTACAGTTCTCTGTACAAAATCAAGGATTTCTGATGGCTTTCCATCTTCCTTTAAAATTGCTTTTTTCTTTTTCTCCAAAGGGTCTGGGAGAGGGAACGAGAGGGAGGCCTCATTCAGTTCTTTTCTTTCCGGCCAGGTCCCTCTAGCGGAACCTCTGCTTCTTGTATAGCTTCCTTCTCTATTTCAAGGTTCAGCTTCCTCCCCTCACCGTTGGTCCACAAAGCCTTCCTCTGGAGGACTGGGTCCCTCAGGATTCACTGGATCTCTAAGTTTCTTAGAGCCTTTCATGCCCCCTCTCTCCTCTTACCCTAGTCTCCTGGGTGAGTCTCCCCTCCTCAGAACAGAGCCACACTCTCCACGTGAGCCAGTCACCCCACGGGAGCTGTCCTGGACCCTGACCCCACCCAGAGCGGTGGAGAGAGAGAGAGAGAGAGAGAGAGAGAGAGAGAGAGAGAGAGAGAGAGAGAGACACTCGGGGAAAGTGTGTCAGGAGGCCCGCCTTCCGGGCACACTGGACGGGTGGGTGCTCACGTTTTCTCCTTACAGAGTCTCTGGGTTGTGTCACTAGCAAACATCTAGAAACTTGATCTCTGTTTAGAAGACACAACATGCAAACAATAAATTGCCACAATTATTATTAGCATTTACTTACAGGTTTTCAGAAGCTGTTTCCATATCGAGCAGCTCAACCTTTCTGTTGTCATAGAGACAAAGATCTTTATATAACTGTGTGCAAGGTGAGATTTCCCCGCCCCCTCCCTCCTACCAGTTGCCTAGAGCTAACAGGAAGAAAGGAAAGGGAAAATTTTACATGATTTTTTTCCCATTTATCTCCCCCCCCATTAAAACAAATGAAAATGTAGGAGACTGCTTCTTGTGTCACAGTTTAGGTTTTAAACACTTATGTCTTTAATGAGAAATGGAAGGAGAAGGAAATATGAATAATTTGAATAATGCTGTTTTGAAAAATTGCCAGCAGCACGTCAGTGATGAGCAATTATCACTCACGTTCCCTTTTGTTCTTCTTTTTAAACCAAGTAGTGAACTTCAGACAAAGACCTTAGAAGGCAGAGTTTTCAGCATCTGGAATGACTGAGGCTCAGATGGGTCTGTTGAGGGAGACTGACGAATTCCGAGGTGCGTCGCAGTACTCCCCCTCCTATAACTGCCGCAGCCTGGGCGCCCCCTCCCCCTCTGCAAAGCCTAACCCTGCACACATGTTCATCCCAGACCACAGCTCCCTTCTGGAAGCCTTACTTCAAAACCTCAGCTCTCTTTTGTGTATTAACTTCGGATAACTCATGATCTCTGGTGTTTTTCTGTCTTGTGATGATTTTTCAGCTGCTTCATTTACTTCTCATCATAAATGATACATTTATGATGGAGATGACAGCCTGTGTGTGGCCCTCCGCTTTACCTCAATACTGAGTTACACCTTTGCCCACACCTTCTTTCTCCAGCACACAGATCACCCTTATCCCAAGACAAACCCTTCCCTTAAGTTCTCAGACTGTTGCTTCCCTGCTGCTCTGGTTGAGAGCTCATTCTAACAAATATGTCCTTCCTCATCCCTGGTGTCCTCCGCCTGTCCTTCCCTATGGAATTCTTCCTCTCTTCTTCTTTGAAGAAAAACAAAACGAAACAAAACAAACCTTCCATTGTTCTGATTGGTTTCTATCTGTCTCTGAGTCTGAGGTTTTAAATTTATGCTTTCTTCCTTCAATAAATAGGCAAATGTATGGAGAGGGTGATAGCTGGAGGAAGTTATGCCACCTTGAAGAGCAATGCTTTGGAGTGTTCTCCGGGGATTTCCCAGAATTTCTAATTCAGTACTATCAACCTGAAATCCAAGTCTAGCCTGGAGATGTGTCTTTGCAGCCTCAAGTTCACACTTGGAGAAACTTTGTTTCGAAGTGACAACCTTCCTATTTTTTAAAATAAGCATCTGTTTTCACATGGATGTTGGGTTCTCCTTGTTGTTCCTACAATGCCTCTATCTTCACAGAGTTCTTGCCTGAAGGACAAGGTCGTCTCTCAGTCATCTGGTCTTCAGGAAGCATGACCTTGTAAGAGCTGCCATGCTTGGTGTGAGGCTTGCTAAATGTCTAGGTGAGGATGCTGTCAGTGGGGCATGCTAAGGGAGGGCCTGTGGAGGATGCTGAGGATTCTCTAGGCTCCCTCCCAAGCCTTCAGAACCAACTCCTTCTAGAGAACCAGAATTGCTCACTTTAATTTTTATTGTTCCTACTTCCCACTTAGCCATAGTGAGCCCTGCAACTATTTTGAAGGCTTGTTTCAACCGTGCTGCGGGGCAGTGAAAAGCATCTTATAGTTTTACTTCTGCTTTCTTCAGGGAAGGGGTCTGTCGGGGTCCCCTCCTGAGGCAACATGTGAACAGCTTAGCGTCAAAGAGGTTAGAACTTGGCTTATCTGTTTCTTCTCCATCCTTAGCTATAGGCAGTTTCCACCCGGTACCAAAGTTAGAGAAGTTGGAAGCAGTTGTTGTTTTTTTTTTTTTTAATTAAAGGAAAAGTAATTTTCTTAGACAGGCAACCACAGAAAAGTAATTAATGAAGTCTCTCTTTGCAGCATAATAGCTGAGGGACCTGGAACAGGGGATTCCATCTAGTTAGATCTCAGCATCACCGTCTAAAGTGTCCAAGCCAGGTGTGCGAGAAGGGCTGTTAGTGATGCGATCACTTATAAGAGCAGCACAGGACGCTTGTCACGGAAGGGCAAGGCCAGGACGGGGAGGCAGGGCCCACAGATTTGTTGACTGATTGAAACAAATTCTATCAGCACGGCCATCACCTTCAGGGAGCAGAGCTGACAAGATAGTTAATGGAAACTAATTCAGAGAAAACCCTCACCCCTTGCCTGTTGCTCGAAACCACAACTATCCTTGAAGGCCGTTAACGTGTCCACAGGGAGCAGACCAAGTGCTCAGGAAGGGTAAATTCCTCCAAGAAGCTGGCACAGGGGCTACAGGCTTCCCGAGGGGCATGCCAGCGTTTCATTCCTGCCCCATCCTACCATGTCATCCTTTCAAATGGAGCCCAGGGAAGACCTCCACCACACTGGTGCGTTTGTGGCACCCCCACTTCCTTTGGTGGTTTTATTGGGATGAAAGCCATGTAACATAAAATCCACCTATTTCAAATGATAGTTTTAGTATTCTTATGTGAAGCCGGTGACCACAATCCAATTTTGGAAAAATTTCATCACCCTACATCATCACCTTACAGCCATTAGCAGACACCCACCCCAGCCCCTGGGACTAACCTATCAGCTTTCAGTTCATTTCCATATTAACAGGATCATGCAATTGTGAGAAACTCCTCTAAATGGAAGGACATTTGGTATCTTGGTACTAATACCCCCCCACCCCCCTTTATCCCGTGGCTTCAGGAAGCATGGCCTTCCTCTGCTTGCTGATGCTTGCAATCCCTCACTCACATCTGTGGCTGGCACAGCAGAAGCCAGACGCCAGGCTTGTCTTTCACCATGTAGCTAACCAGGCTGAGTGGCAAGCACATTGCCACAGGCACTTAGGAGCTCACCTGGTGGCTGGAGGCCAGACAGCCAGCATCCCTGCTGACAAATCAGGTCACCCCCGGCGGGCGCTATGGCCTGAGCACTTTGCCCCTAGATGACCACAGCTGCGGAGCCCACAGCAGCCTACCTAGACCCAGCTGGCCAAGGCTCACACCCACTCAGACTGCTCAGGCTGAGAACACTGGTGAAGGAGGGCTACCTGCTTCACCAGACCTCCAGTCAGCTACAAAGAGAGGCCTCCTGTGGCTTTGGGACAGTTTTAAGTTACCTGCCTCAGTTTCCCCCACGAGGAAAGTGCAGGTCTGAGCTGCACGGAAGTAACAGAAACAGCCAAAACTCGGGGGTCCTCGTCACTCGGAAGGGTGATAAGTTTCCTAGGGTGAAGAGCCACGCCCTGCTTTCCTGCAAAGGGGCTCAACACTTGAGCAGCAAAAGGCAGGGGTATGGGGCGCCATGTACTCACAGTCGGGAGAGGCCGTCGCGAGGGCCGGGGCAGCGCAGGGCGCCGTCAGGGACGCAGTGGCAGGGCTCGGGGCAGCGCGACCCTGGCAGCTCTCGGGGCTGTAGCGGTGACGGCTTCAGCACCAGAATCGCCAGCGCCTGCAGCAGTCTCAGCGCCGGGGCCCGCCGCCCCATGGCCGGCCAGCCTGAGTGTGAGCTCCCGGGCTGGGCCAGTATCTTGGACCACCCGGGGGGCCGCCCGCCCCCTCTGCCCGCCCCTCGGCCAGCCTTCCCACCCGCCGGCCCCCACCCGCTCCCGCCCTCCCCTCTCACCGTGCCTCTGGCGAGTCCCGGCTCTCCTTGACCTGGGACGGTGGCCAGCTACCCCATCGCGGTTTCCCTGGGACCCGTCCTCGACCCTAAGCCTGCAAATGAACTCAGGGTTTGAGAGCAGAGTGGCCTGTGGTCAAGTGATCCCAGTGAGAAGTAGGGGTTCTGAACTCCGCCCTGCCAGGGGTGTGAAGCGGTGGGATCTACGGGATCTTCTGAATCCTTGTCTTGGTTCCAGGAGAGGATCAGAGGGTCGCTGTCCGCATCCACAGCAGAACAGCAGAAGTGCGGGCTGAGCAGTGTCTCACTCAGCTCCGGCTCTGCTCCTCCAAGTTACCTCTTCCTTCGCAGCTTCCTCAGTGACCCTCTCCACTTCTGGTGACTGTGATTGTATTCCTCAGCATCGCTGTTTGGGTCTGTCCTCTATCTCCCCCACTGTACTGTGAGGCCTTTGAGAGCAAAATCCAATTCGGGTTTACTTTGTGTTCATTCTGCAGTTAATAAAGATTTGCTGGGTGAACAGGTGAAAGGACTGTACTGAGCAAGCGCCTAACCTCAACGAGTGTCCAGCATACTTTAACCTTTGTGACGGATGCCTCGCCTCATATCATGTCTCCATGTCACAGCAAACTTGCAGGGTGCTTACAGCAAGAACTCAATTTCTTTGGTCAGCCTGCATATAAATGGAGGAATACTGTTGGGACTCCTGTCTCTCACCAATGTAAAACACCTGCTCTATGCTCTGTGATTCTTTTTTTTTTTAATTAAGAATTTTTTTCATTCATTTGACATACCAATCAAAGATCCCCCTCTTCCCTCCTCCTGCTCCCCAAACCTTCCCTCCAATCCACCTCCCCCTCCTCCCCACAAAAAGCCAAGGCCTCCCATGGGGAGGCACATACAGTAGAGGCAAGTTCAAGCCCCTCCCCCTGCCTCAAGGCTGCACAAAGTGTCCCATCACAGGTAGTGGGCTTCAGAAAGCCCGTTCATGCACCAGGGATGGATTCTGATCCTACCGCCAGAGGACCCCCCAAGCAGATCAGGCTACACAATTGTCTCACCATGCAGAGGGCCTAGTCCAGTCCCATGCATGCGCCACAGCCATTGATCCAACTTTTGTGAGTTCCCACTAGTTTGGTTTGATCATCTCTGCAGGTTTCCCCATCATGATCCTGATGCACTTGCTCATAGAATCCCTCCTCTCTCTCTGACTGGACTCCAGGAGCTCTGCCTGGTATTTGGCTGTGGATCTCTGCATCTGCCTCCATCAGTCATTGGAGAAAAGTTCTGTGATGACAGTTAGGGTATTCACTGATCTGATCACTGGGGTAAGCCAGTTCAGTTTAGGCAACCTCTCCACTATTTCTAGTAGTCCAGGCTGGGGTCATCCTTGGGGACTCCTGGGAGCTTCTCTAGCATCAGGTTGCTCTCTATCCCCATGATGTCTCCCTCTATCATGGTATCTCTCTTATTCCTTTCCCACTCCATCCCTGTTCCAGCCCAACCATCTCATTCCCTTATGTTCACATCCCCCATCCCCTACCCTCCATTGCTCACTCCTCACTCCCAGCTCACTCATGGAGATCTCATCTATTTCCCCTTCCCAGGTTGATCCATGCGTCTCTCTTTGGGTCTTCCTTGTTAGTTAGCTTCTCTGGAGTTGTGGGTTGTTGTCTGGTTATCCTTTGCTTTACTTCTAGTATCCACTTATGAGTGAGTACATACCATGTTTGTCCTTCTGAGTCTGGGTTACCTCACTCAGGATGATATTTTCCATTCATTTGCCTGCAAATTTCATGATGTCATTTCTTTTCTCTGCTGAGTAGTACTCCATTGTGTATATGTGCCACATTTTCTTAATCCATTCTTCAGTTGACGGGCATCTAGGTTGTTTCCAGGTCCTGGCTATTATGACTAATGCTGCTATGAACATAGTTGATGCTCTGTGATTCTAAACCCCATGGAAACAAGACCCGATCTTACAGCAAACCTGGGAATGAATCAATTCCCCTCTGCTCTGTTCCTTCCAAGGATTAATTCTGAACACTAGAAATGTTAACAGTTTTTCTGGATGAGGTAGACGGTGGGAGCTGAGAAGGCCTCTAAAGTGTTCAGGGTGGGAAGCAGAAGGGCAGATCTCTCCTGAAGGCAGTTCTCAAGGGCGGCTTCCTCAGTCACCAGTTTATAGTCTTTATTGCTATTGTTCTTAAATGTCCCAGCTTTGCCCACATGTGATCTTTGACTTACATTTTCACATCTCTGTGCATTCTTCCCAAGGCTTGCATGATCCCCTCTTCCTTCTCTGTTTTCCATTAGGTATACTCCTGGTTGTATTTGAAGACAGACACTTGCCCCTTCCACGTGACTCAGCATAGCTTACTAGTGCCTGGCTTGAAAGCTTGTGACTTCAAACTTAAATTAAGCATACGATTTTGCTTTCCCCTGTCAACTGATCTTAGGACTTCGAGGCATGTCATAGCTTCTAGTTCAGAGTTGGTGCTCCATACGTATCTGCTGAACAAGAAAATGAATAGTGAAACCTGGGCTCAGACCTGTAGCAGATCCTCAGTGGGTTTTAGCTTTGTCAGATTTTAGTAGTGCTGGTGAAGTCGCACTGGGCTTTAAACACTTCTACCATGTAGCCTTGATGGTAAGAGGTAACAGACGAGGAACTCCAAGTGGCTGAATGGCATTATTCCAAGTCTCATGTTTTATGTGTGGCTTTTATTTTTATTTCATAGTTTATCATATGTATATATATATATATACATATATACATATGTATAGACATATGTGTGTATGTGTGTGTGTGTGTGTTCCTAGAGCACATGTTACTTCCCATTCCCCCATGTGTACTGTTTGCAATCATGGCTGACTCTGGGAGCAGTGGCTATTCCAGGAATCGTTATGCCCCTGTGTAGTAGCAGAAGTACTGGGAAGTGGAGACTTTGGGAGTTTCTTCTGTCTGTGACTCGGTCTTTAGTTTCTTCCTCTGTAGGAGGAAGGGTTGCTTTTATCCAAAGAGTTTTCCTTTTCCAAAATGCATGGACTTTGTGAGCAGTTCCCCCTGGTGTTGTTGTATACACGACTTGATAACTTGTCATGGAAATCAAATCCTGTTTTCATGAGGATGTTCACATGGAAGAAAGTTTCACACAAAACAATTTCTGTCCATGATTAATTTTAGTTGGGTCTCATCACAGCCAATTCTTGCTACATAATCATGATAATCAAATCACATTGAATTGCTGGTTACAGTCACAAAAATTTGCTACCTGTTCCTGTTCATTAATAGATGACCTCCTTGGAGTGGGTAGTTTTAGATCTGAGGGGCTTCTGCTTTCTATAACTAGCTGTGGAGATACTTTTGTCATAAAACTTGAAAACAGCATGATGCAAAGAATGGCTAATTACAGTTTATTGACAAAATAATGTGGGTTAAAAAAAAATCCCAGTAAAACTCCCCAAAGTTTCTGAACAGAACTTCTCACATTTTAGGTTATGGAACTGTCATTTACAAAGCTTAAAAACCAAAGATTCCCAAGACTTCCCCCAAGAGATTCCAACTCAATATGAGATGTAAAACGAAGGCCAGAACCTGCATTTTGACAAACCGCCCCACACATCTTGATACATGCAACGAAGGTTCTCAGAACAGAATTTGAGAAACACTAAAACTACAAGTCTAGAACTGAATTTGCCTTGGGGAGCTCAAGGATCCTTTTGAATAGCTGGGTATCATGGCTAATGTCTGTTTGTAATGTAGTACCTGGGAAACTGAGGCAGGAGGGTCGCTGAGAGTTGCAGGTCAGTCTGGGATACAATAAAACAAACACATACGTGGTTCTCATTGAGGACTTTGAAGGAAGCCTGTGGACTTGGATATGCTGTTAAAGAAAACGTATAATGAACACATGCTGACAGTAGTGTATGTGCTTAAATGTTCAAATTTATGAGGCATGTTGCATGGGTGAGGTTGTTTCTTTAGTTTTTTGCTTTTGGAATGTCACAGGATCAGGGAATCTGTTTTCTTGATGCCTCACTCAATCAAAACGGAAGGATTTGGTGATAGACTGTAGGGTTAGAGGCATTTGCAAAGCAATACTGATTTAAAGAAACAGAAACCAGCACAGGCAGAATGTTCTGATTCTTGAGAACACACTTGGTTAGCATGGGGACTGATGTTTTTTTCCGTGTTAAGAGCAATGGCTTTACTTTTCCCTTGGAAGGAAAGGAAAGGGTGGGTCGGAGGCCAAAAAGGGAAAGCAAGACGTGAGGACAGTTACAGCCCTGAGCTGGAGCAAAATCCAACCAAACCAGGCAGAGCACAAAGACGGTATGAAACCAGTAGAAGTCACCACCTGCAGGGCCCATCTGAAGCTCTCCTGGGCTGGAGAGAAGCCGGTAGCTGCCGTCCACTGATGGGCCCTGGTCCTTGGATGAGTTCGACATTGGGATGTAAACGCTGGTGTGGAGCATGAGAAGACTTCTCTGAAATTGATGGAGAGAAGGCTGGGCAGGGAGCCTTGCTTTTGGTCATGTGGCAGGGAGGTGAATGCATTGGGCTCTGTTCCCTGTCTTGCTTCAAGGAAGAAGCCCGTCTGCACTGCAGGTGATTCGATTCTGTAGACAACAACAGAGAGAAGGAACAGATGGGCAGGCGAACTTTATGAAGCTGGTCATACCACACCGTCTTTATCCTTGGGCTTCCCAGGGAATAAGCCAACACATTCACTGTTTTGCTTAAGCTAGTTGGGGTTGAATCCCTGTCACCTGTAACCCCAAATCCTCCCCTCCCCTATGAGCCTTGGTGTGGGCTTTAAGACCTACTTTTCCTACCTTTGGGAGGGAAATAGGTTTTCTCAGTTTTTATCTCTGCTGTGGGACTCATCCCCAGGGA